GAACCATCAAATAGTGCGCATGAACATGGCCCAGATAGTGTAGGTAAGCAGATAAAAACCGCTCTTTTGAATTTCCTTTTATCGTGTTTTTTTCAATTTTGTTCTTTCATTTGCTCATCTTCTCACCTCTTTATCCTTAAAATAGTGGGAACTTCTGAGAGCTTAGTAACGCATTTGCACCGATGTTTCGTGATCGAACAATATAATTAATCCATCAAGGAAGCTGGCCATATTTTATTGGCGCTGGAGCCTCTTCCATAGCTTTGCTAATATCTGCATACTCTCTGAAGAACCAGCCATTCAACCACGTACTGACTGCATCGAGCAGTTCAAGTCTACAGGTAGTATAGTTGTCCCGATGCATTTGAATCTGTTATATCAATTTTAGGAACATGCTGCGGATATCTGTCATGCTATATGCTGGGTCATTCCTGGTCTATCTAGACTTCTCCTGCCCAGAATCAACTCTATGGTATTGCTAGCAACAGTCACGAGCTGCTTACTCATCCTCTGTGAACAGTTCAGGTAGTATCATTCGCACACTGTGCCAGTTCATAATTCGAGTTCTTAGGCATGATTTTGCTTGGGCGGATCCAGTATGTTGTCTTTTCTTGTGCGTTGCGGTCTTTTCCACAATGTGGCCATTGTCATCCTACACAGGAATGATACTTCTACAAACGGCCCCGCCTCATTTATTGAATCAGATAGATAGGTAGATTCGTCCTTTGATTTGAGTTGGTCCTTTATGTGTTTCAATGTCTTCAGATGCATTTCTGAAGCATCAACTATTGATGGTGTCTTGGAGATTCGGGCGCGACATTTTTGGCAACTGGATTTTGCACAGTTGGTGAGTAAACATCACATTTCTGATGTTTCAATATTGATATCTCTGCTTATTGATGCTTTCCTTATCTGTACTTTGTTTCTCAATCTAGGTGGGCACTGTTGATGTAAGAGTTCGACGCGACGCTGATGAGCAAAACGTTTTGACTTTGGTCACAGACAAAATGTCGTCTGTTGTCAGCATGCTTACAGTGCAGGTATACATCTTTTGTGGTCATTTACTCCCTGGTCATTCATGTCAAAAATTATGACGTTTAGATTGTCAAAGATGCTGCTTGGAACATGGAGGGTATGAATTCGATGAATTCAGTAGCTTCTGAGGTAGGTTCTCTCGAAAGCGTCTTTATTGCATTTTTGCTTTGAAAGTTCTACCTATACATCATCTTTACTCACCCAAGTAAGCTTTCCTTTCTCCTAAGTCAATTAAGGCAGTGTCCCGGCAGAATTTCGCTTTCGTGTTTTTCACATTTTCGGGGCCTTCTCGCCATGGGGAGCCCAAAACTGGGCTTTTCTGCGCATGAAGAGGGCGGAAATGTGCTTTCTCAAAGCTTTCCAGGAATTCAGAGGAAGTAGGCCGGAAGTCTTCCGTGACCCGCCTCCCGACTCCTCCCACTTGCACGTATTTTTCATTGCGGACGCGGAAAGCGTTGAAAGGCTCATTTTCGCCATTCTTGTGCGCGTAAAAACTCCGATATGGGTTCCATGCCGAGAGGCACCAAAAAATGTGAAAATGGAAAAGAAAGTTCTGCCGGGACACTTCTTTTCAGTCATTGTTGCTTATCCTAAAAAAATCTCCCTTGAAATAGGATAGATTCATCCCAAAAGTTGTGACAGATCCCATAGTTACCTTTGTGGAAATCGTATCCCCACTTTAGCCCCATATTCACGCCCATGATGATGATCACGGCAATGGACATAGTCATGATCACGGCCATAGTCACGACCACGATCATGACGATGATGGAGGTAAGCACCCGAAATTCTGTGGCTCGCATGCTTTGTAGCTACTTTCATGACTAAGATTTGTTTTCTTTGAGGTCATGGACATTCCCATTCTAACCCAGCCGGACATGGACACTCACATGGATCTGCACCCCACTTGGATGCACACCCCTCCAATTATGGAGTGAGTGCATCCCCGGCATTCCCCAATTACCAGCAACCATACGGCAATCCTGCAAATCATGTCGCAGCTCATGGTCATACGCATGATGGAGTTACCTATCATTGATTTGTAATGAGTTTATAGAGAGAGTTTTTCATTGTACTAGTTCTTCTGACGATATTTGCTTGACTTATTTATTTATACATATCTATTTGATGTGGTACTCAACTGTGTTGAACTTTTATTTTGTTATTTTACATGCGACGCAGTCTTCTTGACATCTGTTACTTTGTTGAAATGTTCTTATTTGCATTTTCTGTGATGAATGGGCGACGGGATAAATGGGTCATTTTTTCAATCTACAGAATTGGCAGGATATCCTTAAAAATATCTTTGTGCAAAACGTCAAAATTGAGATCTATCTATGCTTCGCATGGTTTGAAAGGGTTATATAATTAGAGCTTAACCTTCAAAGTCAGAGTCTCAAACATGCCAGAAAAGCTATAGACTCATCATTGACTGGCAAAAGAACGTTTTTCGGCGTTGAATAGGGTTGTCTCGAATATGTTGAAGAGTGTAAGTTTTTTCACTGTTTCTCGTGGACAGGCCATGATCTCGATGGTCACGAAACAGTTCTGAAATCACACTGAGCCTTCTGTAGAGCAAGTTGTCTGCTGGTAGCTGTTCATAGTCATAGAGCACTTTACCTTACGGACTTCAGAGATCATTTGATAGGTGTCATAGTGCGTTGGAGTTTTCTTTATTTACTCAGTAATTCGTAGTGATCTCTATGTTGTATCATGGTCCCCAGTGTCACATTTTTACATCCGCGACAATTCCGACTGACCAAAGAAGGCATTCATTTTTTTTTATTGTTCCAAGAAAGAATCTACCTG